CAGTAAAACACAAAATCACAACAGCGGATCGCTTCTGATTGGTTACGCGGTTACGCGATACGCGGTAAATACACTTCATGGGACTCCAGCCTGATAGTTTAAATTGTTTCTTTTTTTTTTTTCATAAATTTAAATTATTATTTTTAATAAATTTACTTAAATTAATTATTGCTTTAATATTTCCAGTTGCAATAATATTTGATACCGATAATGGAGAGAAAATTTTCATTTTAATTAATTTATTCATTAATTCTGTTCTGAGTTCATTATATAATTTTGGGCACGCCCAAAAGTCGAGGGAGAGTTCTCGTTATTTATTGCTGCACGCAGGCAGCTAACTCCCTGAGTCAGGAAAAACCCTAGCTTGCCTACTTTGGGGAAAATGGCTGACAATGTCCCCACATTTTGAGACACGGTGGCGATCTCTTGTGTGGCGTAGATGAAATGAAATTTGACAACCGCATGGACGACGACAAAGATGTCAAAATAAAAACATGAGAGTTCTAAACAACAATAAGAGGATACGATTGATGAGAAAACCAAAGGAAATATAAAATGAGTAAATCAGAGATAATGCATCAGAAGAATTAGAACAACAAATTAAAGGTACCTCTGTAAAAAAAATCAGAATCGAGCAACATTTTTCGATTTATCAAACAGCGGAGAGATGTTTATAGTCACGAAAGAGATCGACAGTGAGAACATTAGCAAATTGTGCCGCACGTGTTTGCGGGAAGACGGCGACAAAATGGTATGCCTGTTCGTTGGACCAGCTGGTTCCTCACTCGCCGCTAAATTACGATCTCTCTCTTGTTTGGAAGTAAGTAGCACATTTGTCTTATCTCGAATTTAATGGAAGTTTCTCAAAGATTAAGCTTGTATTTCGTGTGAATATTTATAGGTCTGGCAAGGAGACGGCTTACCTGAAAAGATGTGCGACCGTTGTGTCACCAGAGCGGAATCAGCTCTTTTGTATCGAGAGCAATGTCGCGCTGCTGACAGGGCTTTGAGGCAAGCAGCATTGAAGGTAAAAGAATTTTGTTTCATTGTAACATATATACCCAGTCTATCCAATCAGCCAAGTTTGCTTGAACAGAACTTTTTTGCAAAGCATCTACTGATAAATTTTGTTAGTAAGAAAATTAAAAATTTGATGTAGAATATCAGTTATATCAAATGATCTAGGAGTCGATTGTGAACTTGAGGTATTGGTCAATGAAATTGTATTGGGTATGGAAATAAGTTTTCGTCCATTGTAGAAAGATGTTAGTAGCATTGCTTGTATGTTTGATAGAACCGCAACACATGTGTTTGAAAGGTTTGTATTCAAACTTTTGAGCTCAATAGTTGGCATTCGTTCGAAGCGTAAAAAAGAGTAACTTTTTTTGCGTTGAAGATGTCGGAATTTATTCCAAAAAAGCAACATTTGCGAGAAGTTTTACTCCATTATTTTATTTTAAAGAAAAGTGCTGCAGAATCGCATCGTTTGCTCGTAGATGTTTACGGTGAGCATGCTCCATTGAAAACCAGTTGTAAAGAATGGTTTCGGCGATTCAACAGTGGTGATTTTGACGTGCGTGACAAAGAACGCGAAGGTGTACCGAAAAAATTTGAAGATGCAGAATTGCAAGCATTACTCGAAGAAGATTCATGTTTATCGCTCGATAGGTTGTCAAAAGAGTTAAATGTTGATAGATCCACTGTTGGAAAACGTCTACACACAATGGGAATGGTGCAAAAAGAAGGAAATTGGGTGCCATACAAATTGAAAGAGAGAGACATGGAAAGACGTTTGGTCATCTGCAAGATGCTTCGTCAACGACAATAAAGGAAGGGTTTTCTACATCGTATCGTAACTGGCGATGAAAAATGGATCTACTACGATAACCCTAAACGCTTGAAAGCATGGGTGATGCCAGATGAACCAGGTCCATCAACGCCAAAACAAAATATCCATGCTTCGAAAATTATGTTGTGCATCTGGTGGGATCAGAGAGGTGTTATATATTATGAGCTGCTTAAACCGTCACTGGCGATCGTTATCGACTACAACTGATACGTTTAAACCAAGCTTTGAAAGAAAAACGACCGGAATGGGACAATAGGTACAACAAGCTGATTCTGTTACATGACAACGCTAGGCCACACGTTGCAAAACCGGTCAAGAAATACTTGGAAGGAGTAAAGTGGGAAATTCTGCCCCACCCGCCGTATTCACCGGACATTGCTCTTTCAGATTTCCATTTGTTCCGATTTATGCAGTCGGCCCTTTCTGGAGAACGATTCAATTCTTATGAAGATATTAAAAAATGGCTTGATGAATGGATCGCTTCAAAAGAACCAGATTTTTTCATTCGAGGAATCCGTTTATTACCGGAAAAGTGGGAGAAAGTTGTCGCTTCCGAAGGAGCATACTTTGTATAAACTCACTTATATAGATTTGTTTAAATAAACGCATCTTTTTCTTTTCAAAAAGGGCGGAAACTTACTCCCATACCCAATAAATATTTTACTAACTTTACTAAATTTACTCACTTTTGTAATTTTCATTCAAGATACTCAACTAATCTTCCTATTGATGATAAAATTTAAAAAAATATAATAATACTTATTTATGTGATTTGACAGCAAATTGATGGCAAAAACTGAGCAGATTTGTACATAGTTTAACAGATTAGCAGCTGAAATTGAGCAGAGTCTGTATTCGAGTCTGTATTAGAGTCTGGTCAATTTCTGTAGCAAATGTATTGTCAAGTTATATTGACAGAATGCGAACTTAATGCAGACACAGATTGTACTGAGCTGCTGCATTTTTCTCATCAAATTTGTTGCCAATCTGCTAGCATTCTGTGGACAGTTTGTTTACTGGCCAGATATATTAAGAATGTGTTAAAAAATAGGTATCCCGATTGACATCATACACTACTGTTTCCGGCTGCAAGCTCTATCAAAATCAGCAGAATCAAGGATTCATGCCTGTACAAAATTCTCACAAGACACTAAAATGTGTGGAATGTGGCGCAGTATTTATGAATTATCAGGAGCTATGTGCCCATAACCGACTCCATTTGCCATTTATTCAGGACAACATACCTATGCAACATATGCACATAGTGGAGTCTCAGAATCCATATCTTAATTTTACTCATGTCAGTTCAAATTTTGCAAACGATAACATTCCAAGTACGCAATTATCTCCATTAGTTAGACCAAATATGATGCATACTATGTCACTGAACGAAGAAAGTTCAAGTCGAGCTGCTTGTGCCTTACATTGTTCCTTGTGCAATCACACTTTTACCAATAGAAGACAGTTAATAAGTCACAATATAACGCACAGTACGGAGAGTGTCGATATGTCATGCGACAATGAAAACATAGAAATTTGTGAGAATTCTAATCATATCCCACAAAATTTAAGTTACGAAAGATCAATCCATTCCGTGGATAATCCTATTCAAAACTTGTCATATCAGCGATCCACCGTGGACGATACCGATGGAATACAGAATATAAACTTTCCAGAAAATATAGATCTTGATGGAGTCCAGGAAAGCAGTTCGGAACGTATGCAAAATGTAACGATACATTCCGAAAACGATGTGTCGATTGCCGAAAACTTGAGGTTTATAAAATCACCCGGAAAAGATAGGCAACTCGCGATTGAATATCATGGATGCCAAAGTGACGATAATTATAAAGAACCTCTCGACATAAAAGCCACGGAAGATGTTAATGCTAAGAAGCATCAGTGTGAAATATGCTCGAGACAATTTTCACAAAAATCTAAATTATTTGCTCATCAGCTATCTCACTCTGGTCAGCAACCATTTAAATGTTTAAGTTGCGGCAAAGGATACGCATCGAAAAGCAAACTCAGTGCACATATGAGATTACACACCAAAATCAACGTACACCAGTGTAAGGTGTGCGATAAAATATTTTCATATCCGTCATACTTGGAGGAACATATAAAGGTCCATAATAAAAGTAATAATACATCGCAGAACAAGGATTATGAATGTACGACTTGTAATAAACGTTTTCGGCTTTTAAAAAATTTGAAAGCTCACGAAAGACTCCATACCGGAAAAGGTTTAGTGCAATGTGAAATTTGTGATAAAAAATTTAGTCATAATTATAATCTGAAAATGCATTTGCGAACACACAAAACATCAAGAGTACATAAATGTGAGTATTGCGATAAGCGCTTCGTACAGAAAGGTAATTTGGTCGAGCATTTGCGAATTCACACTAAAGTGAAGCCTTTCGCGTGTACATTGTGCAGCAAGAGATTTGCGCAATCGAGTCACCTTAAAAGCCACGAAGCCTCACACGGTACATTGAGGCAACATCAATGCCGATTATGTGGTAAGAGATTCAAACTGGCCAATCATTTGAAACGGCATTTAAATTTACACACCGGTACAAAGACTTATAAGTGCAATCAGTGTAACCAAATATTTTCGCAATCTTTTAGTTTAACGAGACACTTAAAGAAACATAATGAATCGCATATATAATTTATATTATAATAAATTGTAATTTATGTACATGTAAACATGTGAATAACTATTGTGAATACATGTTTTATAATTATAAGAACTTTTTTGCGCGTGATTATTAGCTGTTACTTTTATTCTCTTACAATCTTCATGCTTTCTCAAGAAATCTAAAAGAGAATTCTAAAAAACCTACTGAGAGATCTTAAATACTCTTTTTGGAATAACTGGAGTAATATACGATAACAGGTAATCCATTTTCGTAAAAATTATATTTATCATACAATCTTGATGTGTGTGAAATTTTTAATTCTTCATTTGTAATTTTTGAGAACCGTAATAAGAATGTTTATTCCTTCTCGTAATTGTTCTTCCGTGATCGTTAATGGGGGCGATATTCTGATGATTTGTCCATGTGCGGGTCTCGACAACAACCCAGCGTCCCTCAGCTTTAGACAGATGTCCCAACCCTCGGCGAATTCTGTAAGTAAAAGTCACGCCGAATACATCATAATAAAATTCAATATTTTTTGTTAAATAACGAAATGGTTTAAGAAATGTTTTTAGAAATGTTAAATGTTTTTCGATATACAGTCCCTTTATCTCTTTATTATCAGTTGCGCACAATTATATTATGAGTAAATGTGTGAGATAAAGTTTGCGAGATATATAATTTTAATTTTACATGTATCAACAAGTATTTTATTTTCATTCATATCACGTAAGTATTGAGTTTTTACTTTGCCAATTTATCAGCGAGAGGGAGATATGAATAATTCTTTCCTGACTTTTGATACCTTTGTTTATCACTAGACCGGCCAGAAGACCGCGTCCACGAAATTCTGTCACGATATCTTTCGGCAGTTTATCCAATTCTTTCTTCAAAATGTTTCCGAGTCTCTTTGCGTTCTCCGCAAGATTCTCCTCCTCCAAAATTTTAACTGCCTCCAAAGCGACTCTGTTTCCAAGCGGACTCCCACCAAAGGTGCTTCCGTGGGAACCTGTTTCCAGACAGAGCATTATCTGGAAAGAGACGATTAGTCTGGATTAAAATCCTTGTCGCGTCAAATAGATGATTAATATCGATTTATTTCGAGCTACGCGACGGCAGATATCTCGTTATCTACGAAACTTCAACAATTTAACGTAAGAAATTTTTACAAATGATAACAGTTAAAATATTTTATATTTTATAAAGTCGCGTATATTAAATGAAATATAATTAATATTGAATTATTTTAATAATTGCAATGAAATTTTCCGGATACCTGATCATCCGCCAGGACACCAGAAACCGGATACATTCCGCCGGAGAGCGCTTTCCCCAAAATAAGAATATCCGGTCTATAGCCTTCGTGATCAATTGCCAAACGTGTACCAGTTCTGCAAAGACCAGTCTGCACTTCATCGGCAATCCAGAGAACATTATATTTTATGCACAGTTCTTTTACACGTTTCAGATAACCATCCTAAACAGAAAGTAAAAAAATATACATTGTTGATAAAAAGATAATGATATCACCAATTTCCTGTTGATATCTTCAATATCAACAGGAAGGAAGAATGTTTGCGCAATCTAAATTCTAAAGTAAAAAAAAGCGCTTACATATTTATTTAATGCTCGCACAATATTTACGTATGCTACGTATTTTCGTATTAACCCAGATAGCAAAGCGTGTCTTAGCAAAATCGTACAAATCTGTGATTGCTTATGATGCTGGCAATTTGCCGTAGATTTATCTCCAACGATTTTGAATATATCGACATTGTAGCAACACGCAAACAATAATGTGTATATGTATTGTCAGCAGTTTAAGCTGATAAGCAAGATAGCTACATTAATGTTATCTTGCGTTATTGGCAATATAACAGCATTGTATGATTGCATATTATTATAACAACATGATGGCAATAGTACGAATTTTGACGATGATTTTAAAGTTGTCGGCAAATTGCTGGCAAATTGCTGGCAAATTGCTGGCAAATTGCTACTCAATGTTATCATATCGTGAAGGCATCGAGTTGCCAACAAATGAGAACTTAGTTGCTGCAATTCTAGTAGCAATACATACTTAGCAATGCATATTTAGCAAGCAACATGCAAGTAACAAGATAGACACGTTGCTATCTGGGAACTCACAGTCGGTACAATGACGCCAGCTTCTCCTTGAATTGGTTCCATCATAAACGCGCAGATATTGGGATTCTCTTTAAACTTTTGTTCCAGAGCAACCGGATCGTTATATGGCACTTTCTCAAAAAGAGGTACATAAGGGCCAAAATCCGTGTAGCAATTTGGATCTGTTGAAGCCGATAAGGCCGCCAATGAACGTCCCCAAAAGTTTCCGTTGGCGAATACAATAGTAGCCTTGCCGCTCGGCACTTTTTTGATTCTGTATCCCCAACGTCTGGCTAATTTTATGGCCGTGTCACCTCCTTCAACACCTACAATAAGAAAATAACGAATGCTCTGACTCTTCTATCTTGTACAATAAAGAAAGCTCGTGCTTGTCGCAAGCAATATCAAAATCTTTTTCCAATAATTATTAAGGTATCAAAATTAATTGTTTTTGAAAATATTTTCTTTTTTTTAAAGGAATTTTCTTTTTCCACACCTGTGTTCATAGGTAAAAATCGATCCCATCCAAGGAGTTTTGTTAGATATTCTCCCAATTCACCCTGAGGTTCCGAGTAGAAGGCTCTTGACGTATGCGACAGCTTTCCAGCCTGCTCTCTCATTACTTTCACCAGACGCGGATGACAATGACCCTGGTTGACGGTTGAGAATCCTGCCAGGAAATCAAGGTAGCGTTTTCCATCGATGTCCCACAGGTAGACTCCTTCTCCGCGAGAAAGAACAACCGGTAGTGGTTTGAAGTGTATACCGCCGTACTTGTTGTCGCGATCGATCATTTGTTGGGAACTCAGGAATCTTCTCTTGTCCGATTCCCTTACGATGCTAAAAAATCTCTGTCTCACAGATTGCACAGCCATATTTTTCCCTCACCCTAAAATGTAGTTAAAATGTTGCAATATTACTGCGATATTTTCTTTTGTCGCATGAGCATTTACGAACCTTCTCTTTTTTTTTTAACACGAGCAAGACTACAAGACGTCGGAAAATAGGCATCTGATGACGATTCCAGCATTCTTGCTTTTATATCAAGGTGAAAGAAGATATGGTAAAAGATACGGCGGATATGATTACTTATTTACCGAAATCGTGCTTGGTTACAAACATTGCGACAGAGGGATTTATAATAAATACCTTTACAGACGCGGAATCATATCTGATAAAAAATACAAAGTAAAGGCGCCAGCATGCCGAAGTAAACGAATCACGATAAATAATACAATGCACATGCAAGATTAAATTTAATTTTTATATTAATAGAATTTCGAAAAGAAGCAAAAAATAATGATTGTGTTGCATTTAATTTGAATTAAAATTTTTTAGTTAATGTAATTTTTAGGTACATTTTAAAATTTTATTAAGAAAATTTGACAGTGATAGAATAATTTTACTTTTAATAAGACTTTAAACAAGCTGGAATCTATTAAAACGTTTAATCTGAATCATTATTTTGCGATATAATCAATTAATCGAAATAAAACGTAATTATCTTACAAATTATTATTTAGGAATTACTTATTAGTTGCAAACCATGCTTATATGTTTTTCAATACATGTTATCTCTCGCGTCGTTGTATTAGGAATGCATTATTTGCGTAGAGAATATTATCGTACAAAGCTATTAATAACCCAAAAAAAAAAAGGGAATAACTCATTTACTACGTTAAATACGTATTTTTTGTAAGATAATAATACGACCACATATAAAGTGGCTTATTTAGGTTTTGTTTATAGAATAGAATCGTAAGCGATAATAATTGTATTTATTTACAGCGTTCTACTGTTTTGTAAAAAATATCCATATTTTATACGTCAATGCACTTATGACCGATTCAACTTCTTGCAGTATATCACTTGATAAAATTGACCTGTTGACCCTAATGGAAAAATTTCGCTAAAATTAGTCCACGTTTTGGAACACTTCAGCGAAATTTCAGCATTTTAGAAAAATTTCAGCGATTTTTTGCTAAAAAATTCATTTTCAGAAAAATTTTAGAGAAATTTTAGTTTAATTTCAGCGATTTTTCGATATGTTAATTGAAAAATTCATTTTCAGTGAAATTTCAGTAAATTCTCAGCAATTTCGTTGAAATGTTCCAAAATGTGGAATAATTTCAACAAAATTTTTTCATTAACCCTTGTAGAAAACTGAGCATTAGGAGTATTTTGAGGCACTACTGTACTACAACACTACTGTAGTAGTGTAGAAGTGTTCAGTAATGCTGAGTAGTGCTAAGAACTTCTATATATCTCCGCGTTTCGGCAACATACAAAATGCAGGAAATAAATATGCATCACAGAAACTAATTATTAATAATTTTATTTTGAAAAAAGCACTTTTAGAGACTCTACGAGCACACTCTGATCAAGCTAAGAGTAAGTAATGGATTTCATTTACATATGCTTATTTATAGGGGTCCGTATCATTTTTTCCTTACGGAAAACGAGTTGCGGCAATACTGCATATTATGCCGCTTGCAGAGTACATGTACGCTATAGACGCCGTCAAGCAAGCAGCATAATATGCAGTATCGCCGCAAGATGGACTCGTTTTCCGTAAGGAGAAAATGACGCGGATCCCTATAAATAAGCATATGTAAATAAAATCCATCACTTACTCTTAGCTTGATCAGAGTGTGCTCGTAGAGTTTCTGAAAGTGCTTTTTTTAAAATAAAGTTATTAATAGTTAGTTTCTGTGATGCATATTCATTTCCTGCATTTTGTATTTTGCCGAAACGCGGATATATAGAAGTTCTTAGCACTACTCAACATTATTGAACACTTCTGCACTACTACAGTTATAGTGCTGTAGTACAGTAATGCCTCAAAATACTCCTAGTAGTACTTTTCTACAAGGGAAGGAAGTGATGAACTGTTTTGATATGG